CTGGTGGAAGTTGGTCGATCAGTAGCCCATGACGTTTGAACACATCGCGAGTTCGCATCGACAGAAAACGAGCTAGCTCGAAGGTAAATCATCTCCGAATCCTGTAAGTATGAAAAGCTTTCAGGCGAACTAACGCTCTTTCGTCTTCAAAATTTCCCCGGCAAAAAGCTTCGTGCGCCAAGTGGTTGGCGATAGCAACGATGAGTCGATTGGTGCCTTTGCCAAGACCACCATTCGTTGAAAAAGCAGCAGTAAGGAGGGTAGATCTAGACGGGTTGAAAGTTCCCGCATAGTGATTTGCCTTACTTGCAGCTCGATCTTCGAGGGCGGATCCTGGCTTAAGGATCGACTTGTCGATGCTTCGACCTGCGGATGGGTTGACGATTGTTACGTCTATGAGAATGGACTTGGTGCAGAGTTCCGTTTCCTTCTCTCCTGCGTGTAGTCCTGGGGGAATTACCACATCCATCTTGTATAGCCCCTTTCCCCTACCAGTGCCTGTGGTAAAAGGGGAAGAATCCTCAACGGCGATGGGCATATGGCACTCGCGCAGTGTCTTGAGGACCACTCGAACCATCCTGTTATGGAGGAAGGTTGAGGCGCCGGTCTTGGTGCAGACGAGGGAGTGGGCTCGGCTCAAGCGGTCCTAACATGGTAACAATGCACCTGCACCACAAAGTTTGCCTGTGTTGCAGTCTGCTCGATCGTGACTCCCCAGTACACGACCGATTGACTCTCGATATAGATCAGGCAGCATTCTTTCATCTGCTGACAACCCTTGCGTTGTCAACCACGACAAAACTCCCTTGCCTTTCGCTTCCTCCAAGCGGATCAACGCCCTCTTCTTTGGCGTTTCCTCGCCTACTACTTTCTGCAAGTCTGTCTCCACCATGTGGCGCACTGCTGCATGAAGAGGTTTCGAAAGGAGAGCTTGGGCTCCAAAGACTTGGTAGTGTTGACCAAATTCATTTCGGCTGAAGGTAGACGGTGGTTGATGTTCTACGTCAGGGTTTCCATCTTCACGGGGTTTTCCCGCCTTCCCTGCTTCCAACTGGTAAACTCCTTTGAGGTCGGGGGTAAACTCATCACTTGTGGCAAGTTTAGCCCATGACTGCCCAACAGCTTTTTCAAGCTTGTCTTTGGTGATTATTTCCTCTAGCTTCTTCAGCGAGTCAATCAGAGCCAACCCTGTCGGTAGCTGGGCAAGCCGGGGTAGACATTGCTCAACTGTGTATCCTGTCGATGCTTGCACTGACTTGGAGAACACCAGCGCTTGCCCTGCCACAAAAGCCGATTCTCGAATGAGAACATTGCTCGTGATTCCTAGTCCTCCTTCTCGCATGGGTAGGTGCACCTGCGCCCGAGCTGTCCCTTTGAAGAAATCTACCTCCTCGCTCTTCGTCGGGTCTGCGCGTACCTCTTTGACCGTTGGTATTCTCATGCTGTCGGCCATCTTGCCAAGGACGATCTTACTCACTGCCCACATCATCATGTTGTCATGTATTTTTGCGGCAGAGTTGGTGATAGACGGTGCAATCGTCCTCAGCAGATGGAACAAACGTGGCACACCAGATAAACGCAGCAGTTGATAGCTGGCTTGAGGGTCGTCAAGCGTTGCTAGGCGGAGTATCAATTCCGNTCTACCTCCTCGCTCTTCGTCGGGTCTGCGCGTACTTCTTTGAGTGTTGGTATTCTCATGTTGTCGGCCATCTTGCCAAGGACGATCTTACTCATTGCCCACATCATCATGTTGTCATGTATTTTTGCGGCAGAGTTGGTGATAGACGGTGCAATCGTCCTCAGCAGATGGAACAAACGTGGCACGCCAGATAAACGCAACCGCGTGTCTGTGTGTGTGTCTTGCTGTTGTTGTTGCTGTTGCTGTTGTTGTTTCTCGCATTTAGCTCTATCTGTAGTCTAAAGTGGTAGTTTTCCTGGACCCGCCCACAGGCCACTTGATAAATTTCTCTCTAGGGCCTGGTTAGTTACCCAACAAAATATATACCATTCGAAAGCTATGAACCAGGGCTTTCGAATGAACGCACTTTTAGCTTTCACAGACACCTTGGTGACGAGTTATGCCGAATATACCGTTTCACCAAAAACGCGGCGGAACCGGTAAATTACGATTTGTCGTGCCCCCACCACCGCTGTGAATATATATATAAGTATATATATTTCTTAATATGACACAACGAGTCCATCTCTATCATCATAGAAAAGAGTCAGAGACAGATTA